CCTGACCTGCCCCCCCAAACCCCTGCCCCATCCAACCACTCCTTCTCCCTGTCCCCTGACTGCCCCCGAAACCCCTGCCACCCCATCTAACCCCCCCCTTCCTGACTGCCTCCCCAGGGCCCCAACCCCTATCCACACCCCTGTCCCCTGACCACCACCCTGAACTCCTCTGCCCTCTATCCAACTCCCCCACTCCCTGCCTCCTTACCGTGCTGCCTGGAGCACCGGTGGCTGGCAGCGCTACAGCTGCGCTGCCTGGCTGGAGCCAGGCCATGCTGCCGCCACCACCACACAGCACAGAGACCGGGTCAGGGCAGGCTCTGCAGCTGCGCTGCCCAGGAACTTCACAGCCCCGCTGCCCAGAGCATTGCACCGGTGGCAGAGCGAGGGAGCTGAGGTTGCGGGGAAGGGGAAACAGCGGGGGAGAGGCCGGGCCAGGAGCTCGGGGGGGCTGGGCCAGATGTGGCCCATGGACTGTAGTTTGCCCATCTCTGTGCTAGCATCTGTGAAAATCAGGCACATAGGGAATGCAGTTATTTTTAACCATTTACTCTAAAGATGTGATGAACTCAGACCTTTTTGCCAACAAGAGAACAAATGGCACTGGAATAAAGGGAGGTTGTGTATGCCAGAGGCCTACAAACATTCAAAATGTAATGTGAAACCTGACTTCTGTTCATTCTTTTTTTCCCCTCTCCAGGATAAAAAGTTTTCTGATTTGGAGAAATCAGAATTAGGAAAAACATCAATCTGTATAAAATGTGTGCAGCCAGCTACCTGTCTGCCAAATGTGATTGCTGCCTCAGAATGGGCACATTTAAAACCAGGCTTTATGCTTTGCTTGCACTAATAATGGGCACTTCCTTATTTTAGGGATTGGAAAGACGACACTGATCCAGAAAGCCACTGAAGTCCTAAAATCCTCTGGGGTCCCTATTGATGGATTTTACACAGAGGAAGTCAGAGAAAGCGGCAGGAGGATAGGATTTGATGTCATCACTTTGTCTGGGAGACGAGGAACTTTATCTAGACTTGGGTACTGCTGTTTTATAGATTAAGGTGGTTACTGCTTTAGGGGCAGTCCTGCAAGCCCCTCCGTGCATTAAATGCCCTGGAAGTCATTGGGCTTTCCACACACAGAGGGCTTTAGGATCACGTTCTTTGTCTGTTAGATTCTCTGGGTCTGACTCACTGTTATCCTTCACTTTATGGAGACATTTGCATCTCTGCCAAGTTAACGTAAAACCCCCTACCAACTCAGAATGGTCCTCCAGCTTTCCCACTAGTGCAGAGCAGTAATGAACTGGGTCCTCTGACTTCAGCATGGGCTCTGAATCCCTGTAGAACAATAGAACATGCAAGCTGATTTCATGATCTCAGACACTATTTTTTTCAGGTTGGAAGGAAAATAACTTGCTTCCTCCAATTACTTTCTAAGGGACAGCCCTGATGATCATGAATCAGAGAAGATAAGTTCAGATAAGCTGTCTACAACAAGCCACTGACTGTCCCATAAGTCCCATAACTGGGTTTTTAACTAGGCAGGTATTTCAGATCCCCATATAGGAGGTCTAAAATACATATGAATCCAAAGTCTCTCCTGCTTCACTGGACATCTCCTCAGCATTTAACACTCCATGCAAAACTTTGGCCTCTTCACCCTGTTATCTGTCTTTCTGAACAATGTTTAATAGCACATTTAGATGACACTGTGACTAACCTATGACTGTGTGTCTATATACTAGGAGGAAAAGCTGTATATTTTCTGTTTTGCCATCTGCAGCATATCCAATATAGGGTTGGTTTGTTGGGGGTGTGTGTGTGGTTTTTGAGGGGTTGCGGGAGTTGAATTTTAAAGGAAATCTGGCTGGTTAGATAACCACTCCGATCAGCACAGCTAAAAGTATTACAGCAAATTATCAGCATGTTCGTGGTTCATATTATTAACAAGAAATTTTTTTTGTAAATTCAGTTCTGATTCTTCTACTGCAAGACATGAATATCGTGTTGGACAATACATAGTAGACCTGGTTTCATTTGAGCACTTGGTGCTTCCTGTGCTGAGAAATGTGAGTAGCTTATGAAAGCTTCTGGAAAGCAAGTACTAGTATTAGAAGGCTTGCTAGGTTAAAGTTGTTGGGTAGCGATAATGACTCTTGTTTTAGGTTTAGCTGTCCTGCACTCACTGCAGGATCTGAAGGGGGTGGGGGGAGCAGTTCTCCTGTGATCTGTGAGACTTTCAGGAGATCCCTTTGCCTCCTCAAAACCACTCTTCCTGGTCCCCCATCCCTCTGGCAGAACATCTCGTAGAAGCATCCTTATGACTGCACAATATCAGGTGTGACAGGGAGCCACAATCTTGGCTATTGGAGGATTCAGCAGCAGATCTTCCTGTGGCAAACTGCTGTTTCAATTCACTCCTGCACCCACAAAATGTATGCTTTCTTCCTGCAGAGCTCCAGTGGAGGAGTTTCCATGGACTCCCAAGAAGGGGAGCTTACTGCAGAGCCAGAATCTGCTCTCTCCCTTGCTGTGATCCACTTTTCCTAGCTTTCCCTTTCCTGTGACAGTGGAGAGAATGTTTCTGGTGGAAACAATTTTTTTTTAAAGCATTGTTTTCCTTTTTAATTAGCCTTGTTTCAAGAGACTTGCAAACTTGTTACATCTTCAGTGGCTCATAGTAATTTGAGAATCTGTCTGTTGCTGCTTGCGGAGCTCTCTGGCTGCATCAGTGTTGGGACCTCTGTTGTTGTATTTTAATTTCCATTTTAGGTATCATCTGATCAAGGCACATTCCATGGTACAAGTCTTGTCAACATAGGTTTAAAGAATTTTCACCAGCATCCAGTAGTGTAAACTGGGGTCTGGATTTACAATTTCTGTTTCCAGGCTCCACACACATAGTAATGGGAACAGTGTTTCTTCACTTACGACATATATCGCTGATAAAATTTGCACAACCAGGTGTCTGAAGTGTAACACAATGAAATGGCTTAATGCTTCCAGTGCATGTGTTCCTTTGTGCTCCATCCTCCTCTTTCCTTCTCTTCACATGCTATCTGAAATTTGTTTGAATCGTATGTGAAGTAGGTAGGCGAAAACACATCGGATACTGTGCTTGTAGTGAATAATAGATAACATCCGTACTGGAATTGCTGCTCTCCCAGCCCTCGCTGCAAAATTAAACTAGAACAGATCTTTTGTCAGCATCTTCAAGTAAACAGTGCAACAGCTGCTGACACCACTACTAGAGAAATCCTTTTGATGGTGATTTAACTACATTGCTAAAAGCAGGTTAGGCTAGGGGAGAAGAGAATTTTGCAAGGCACCTGGAGAGGACAAGGCAACAGAGTGGGTTACGAAACAAAGATGAGGTTGAGGTTTTTTGCCTATCTAACACTTTGGGGAAGGAACAAAAATACAACCGTATGGCAACAGGAAGGATTGTGAAGGGGGTAGGAGGACAAAGGGGAGAGACGACATTAATAATATTTACAGATTTTGATTTTTTTTTTTTAATTTAAAAATGAAACCTCACTTATAGTAAACTTAATCTCTGGGGAAAAGACCTCACTAAACAAGGGCTGCACTTCGTATACTTATAAAGGATAATGTATCTGATTATTTAATCATATAAATTCAACACAGATCTTACTAAAAGGAATCAAGTAGTATTCACTTTGTTCACAAGCATAATGGAGCCGTATGTGTGAAAGAGACTCAAGAGTAGAGAGGAGTTGGAGAATTGGGAAAGGGCCTCATCCTGCTCCCTTTGAAAATAATAGCAAAAATCCTATTGATTGAGTGGGAGCAGGGTCTTGCCTATAGGTGGTACAGAGTGGGAAAGGAATAGTGTGAAAGGGAAGGACAGCATCAGTTTGGAATAGGAAGAGACCAATGGAAAGTAAGGGTAGGTGAAGCAAAGTAAATGTACACCTCTACCCCGATATAACACGAATTCATATATAACGCGGTAAAGCAGTGCTCCCGGGGGGAAGAAGGGCTGCACACTCCGGTGGATCAAAGCAAGTTCGACATAACGCGGTTTCACCTATAACGTGGTAAGATTTTTTTTTTTTGCTCGCGAGGACAGCATTATATCGCGGTAGAGGTGTATAAGAACTAAAGGGGAGAGTAGGTATTGCAGAAGGGTGGTAAGCTAATAGAAGTATAATAATACAAATCTTAGATGGTTATCAGTAAATCTACAGGGATCTCACTAATATTTTTGCAGGGACATGGGACAGCAGCATATGCCAGATAGTTAAAGTCCTTTTTAGTGGACAGTTTGTAGAAATAGCAAAATATATCAGATGTCAGTCTGAGTCCCAAGGCCCCACTACAATGTACTGGAAAACGTAGAATGTCAGTTCAGAGTTGGATTTGCCTGCTTTGATCACAGAGCATCTTGAAACAGGTATATGCTACTTAACATATTTGTGGGACTGCTTAGACTCTATGGGCCAGCTCCCACTGACTTCACTGGGAAAGAGTGGATGCTAAAGTGAGTTCTGTTTGGGGCTCCGCAAACTTCACCTGAAGGGACTGGGGATTCTGTACAAAGAAGCAGCTCCATTTCTTAGCACTTTTCCTAGTAAACTGACTTTTCAGTTCACTGATCTGTGAAAGGGTTTTAAATAAAACTACCCCACCCTGCAGGGACTCAGATATCAGTAGGGACTCAGCTCTGAAAGGTTTTAGGAAATGTTATGTAGTGCATCCATTTTCGTAGGAGCTAACATTTTCTAGCTTCACAAGGGACAACATGTAGACTGGCTTCTCCTTAAGTTACATACATGGGTGGTGTCTGTACTTATTCATGGATTAACAGTGAAGTTTTGACTTGGGTTGATTTGCTGCTTACAGACATAAATAATAGAACTGGATTTTTCAGTTAATAGCCTCAGAAGAGGGTGTTGAGCTCGCTTTCATCTAATCTGTAGCCTGTCAGATTTCTGTACTTTTTGGTTTATGTGCCATCTTAAAAAGTAGTTGTGAAGTGAATGGATGAAGCATCAAGCTCCTGTACTACCAATGGCACACATACCACAGTTTGGAAACCCCTGCCCTAATTATAAGTGTATTTATCTGTTGACCCATGCAAATGCAGAGTTTTGTGGGTGTAGTAATGTGAATGCAGCTTTGAAAATCTAGTGCCCCTCAGACTTAACTACAGTAGCTGGCATGTAAAAATATTATCACATCTCTGCCAAGCAGTAGCAGATGTTGAGGCCTTGCAAGTCAGCTTCCTTGGGAGAAGATATCAGTAATTTGGAGTCTAAGTATTTTCTTATTGTAACTTGTTCTTTATACTATATACACCAGTCATTGAACAGAGGTGGTCACAAACCACAAGCAGACATTCTCTCCTCTTTCTAAAATCTTAGCCCAAACACTAACTTTTTCATAGGAAGCAACTCTTCACCAAGAATTGACTCTAGTTAGGGAGCAAACTCTCCTGCTGTTTCCAACAGCTTCCCCCAAAAGGACCTACATCACAAAACTAAAAACAATATACTACATCTTCAAAGATTCTACACTACTCACATGCAAAGAAAAATAACATGTAAAATTGTGTGACTGCGCCAACAGGCGTTTGCTGCCCTAAAACTACAAATCTCAGTCAAGGAACAACTGTTGGCTCTTCCTTTCTTCCCATCTGGGATCCTGTTTTGCTAGGTAACAGGTTGGTTGGCTGCTGGCATCCTTAGCAACTGGGGTGACTGGCTTTTCTGCCCTTATGCTCCAGAACTATTTCAAAGAAATGTTACTCCTGAACTGACATTTTTCCCACAGAGAAGATTGGCTCTTACCTCAGTCTTGATTTCTTCGTGCTTTTTAATCCATTTGTGTATCTTTCCTATAGGTTGATCTTGGTAGTGACACAGGGAAAAAAGTGTACGTAATAGATGAGGTTGGTAAAATGGAACTCTTCAGCCGGTCTTTTATTCAAGCAGTTCGACAAACTCTGACTGCTTCAGGGACCACAATTCTTGGAACTATACCAATACCTAAAGGCAAGCCATTGGGTCTCGTGGAGGAGATAAGAAGTCGGAAGGATGTTAAGGTGTTCAATGTAAGTAATCTCCGATATCTTTAAGGAGCCTTTCACCTCTAGGTCAGCAGTGTGAATCTGGCTCAATTCAAATGCTATCAATGGATGCTCGTTGGATAGTCCCAGTGAAATGAAGGCAATGATCTCAGTTGAGTTCTTAATGGGCAGATGTTCACATCACACACAAAAAAAGCACAATGGGCACTTTTGTTGGCAGACCCATTGAATGAATGGGTCTGTTGAAGGAATATTAGTATTGTTGTTTCTAGTGTTCCCATCACCATGGTGTGACAGTGCCAGACCAGCATTCATTCATTCTTTCAAGTATAGTTCATCTTTGAAAATTGGTCTGTAGAGCCTCTGCCACCAATGATGATATGTGAGATGAAAAGAACTTACCTTGAAACTGAGCTCATTTTGAGTTTGCAGGATTGGTAATAAGAGGAGAAAGAAGGCCTCTTGTAAATTCAGCATGCTTTATCTGGAGTCATGGAGACACAACACAGAACCCATTGTTACAACACTTAGTTTTCAGATAGGAACTGCACTTTAAGACCCTGCAAATCAAGCATAGACAAATTCTCAAGTCCTCATCCTAACAGTTATGTAGTCTCCTTCTAGAAATACCAGTTTAAGACATTTATTAAGCATCCAGAAAGATGCTAAATGTTTAATGAAACAAGTAAAAAAATGTTTTAAAAATTGGTCTCTTCCCTTCAGTTTAATTTTGGTTGATATTTACTGAAACTAGCACACAGAATTAGACCATATTTCCAGAACAGAACAATAGATTCTTAAGAACTACAAAAATTCAATAATTGTGACTTGTCAGAAAATTAAGATGTATGGAGAGAATGTTTTAATGCAATACACCATACAAGTAGATGCTATTGTAGTTCATGATTAGGGTGATGCAAGTTATGATGCGTGCTTACTATATTTTGTGTACATCGTAATTAAGACTGAATGAATGATGAAAGAAAGTCAGTCATTATTTTGATGCTGCTTCATGGGCTGAATGATCTTATTTAGTGGTGCTGTTTAAAGCACATAATGAAAATGTCTGCCTTACTGTGCCATGCAGCTCCCCTAAATATTCACTTATATTGTAACATGTTATGTGGTTGTGTGAAATTATATGGCATGGGATGGTCCTCCCCCTGCCCCACATTGGAGATATCACAGTGTCCTTACTAGGAATGCCATTGACCATTTCTGCATCACCTAAGAACCAGTGTCCTGTATCTGCAGCATCAATTGTGAGTTATTCATCCCCATCTTCACCTGCTAGTTATCAACCACTATATGCTTTAATGTTTGCTCACTTTAAAACCCAGGAAAGCCAAATTTCTTCTTGGTAGCAGGCCACATCTTCCTCACTGAACGTCACGGCATCACTCATGCCATCTCCACCTATGTCTCAGTAGACTTCTGGACCCTAGGTCATCTCCATTCACTATTGGAAGTCAATTGGAATTTTGCTGTTGCCTTTACTGGGACTAGCACTGTAGACAACTGTATCACATTCTCTGAGAAAGTCAGCAGTCTGTTTACATTGCTAGGATCATGATATATCGTTACTCTTGTTCTGATTATGGAAAACTGCTTACTTAATCCATTAGCTGAAGTGCGAGGGATGAGGAATGTAACAGACTGTGATGGTTCCCAAGTCACAGGGACCTAATGTACTGAAGCATCATCTAGCAGGATATCTGCCTTGCACGTTAACATGAATATATTTACCTGTTCATTCCCTGCTGATTCAAATTTGTGCATGAAGCAGGAACCGAAGCTGTAATGATACAGATGTTTCTGCTGGCTACTGTAAGCAATAGCTCACCGCCTCCATTCTTGAATTGCCATAACATGGGGGAGGACTTGGAATGCCCCCGCAGCCCTTGCACAGCCAAGCAGTGCCAGCCATATCTTGCTGCTTTGTGGCATGGTGCAGTTCGTTTTTATCTCCCAGTGTACAGGTAGACAGGCATCTGTTTGGTCCGCCCTGGTGACTTATTGTGGAATTAGGCCATGCATGAGGAATTTAGCATAGTTATCTCATATCCTCTAATCTTTTAATAGGAGTTCTAATGTTCAAAGCTGAGCATGCAAAGGCTGCTGTTCTTTTGCTTGCACCACCATTGTCCTCTTGTGACCAAATCCTCAGCTGGGGTAAATGGATGCAGCGCTGCTAACAGTGGTTGAGGATATAGCTCTTAATATTTAATGTGTTACCTCCTACAGCACTTTGGGATGTATTAAGTATGAAACTCCTATGTAATAAGAGTGATTTTGTATTGCTGGTGGTATTTTAATTACTTCTTGTAGTGTAGCATCTAGGAGCCTCAGTCCTAGATCAGGAACCAGTTGTTGTAGATGCTGTACAAGCACCGAACACAGATTGTCCCTGCCCCTAGAGAGCTTACCCTCTATTGTTGCATGGCTCCATCTTTCCGAGGGAACTAAATCTTCCCAGTGATAATGCAGGATGGTCCACCCTCACTGCCCATTTTCCTCGAACTTTTCCTTTATAGGTCTAGTATTATACATAATATAGAAGCCCAGGTTATTCTCCAAAGCTGGCTTGCATCTGTTTTCTCCTTAAACCCTTCCTTTTGCTTTTGTGAAAATACACTAGTGAAGTTTGGGTTTCCAACTGTCTTTTAAAAAAACAAAACAAACAAAAAACTAGAATCCATAGTAGGTTTCAGTGTGGAAAAACAGCATCATCGTAGATCAGGACAATTGAACCATGGTGCAAGACCCACTGCATCACAGGAGGTTAGGAACCAGAGTCTACAGAAAGTTAACATCTTTTAATTATAAATAATACATGTTCTTTCCCTGATATTCAATCAGCTTCTGTATGACATGGAGTAAGAGTGTTTATGGACTGTTAATACATCATCTTTGTGAACTGTCCATACATCATCATTCTACATAAATTCAGTTTACTAGAAGTAAATGTTTTACTAGTAGAATGAAAAGCACCCACCAGCAGAGGTGTATTTCTAACTTATAAAATCATCCCTCTGAAACCTGACCTTTTTCTAAGCCCCACACTTATGCTATTTACTGAAAGCAACATTTCTCCCTTTCCAATTTTCACCTTGTCCCTTCTGTCGCAACATTTTCATGGAGAATTTTATTTTAGATAACAAAACACATCCTTTCCTCTGTCTTCAGCTCTTGATACAGTTATCTTGTATTTGGTTTTTGTGACATCTAGTAACTACATGTCAAATCCTATTTGTATTGTGCCTAGTAAAATCAGAGGTACCAGACACAAAATCATTAAAGTCAAATGCCCAAGATGTTTCTGATCCATCTATGTCAGTTTATTTTGATAAAAGTATTGAGGAATATGGATTTTTTTTTTTTAGTCCACTTGTTTTCCCCTTTTTCTTCCTGTACTCCAAAAGAAAAGGGCTCCAAATAGAGATTTTTTGCAAATTGATCTTTCCCTGAGCGTACTTGTATTTTTATTGTGATAATGGACTTCATAGTATTCTTGCATGCTTGGAATCTTGGTCGTGGTTCGTTCTATCTTACCCAGATGCTTTGTAATAGTGATGTCCACAAACGCTTTCCGCTCTCTGGATATGAATATAAATACTGGCATTTCTAATATATAATATAACATGGCAGAACAAAAAACCCCCAATGCTTATCTGGAAGTCAGCCCACAACTCGGGATTAGACCATCCCTGGAGGTTAATAAGAGCAGGAAATAAGTATGAAAAGTCTTGCAAAATAGCCGTGAAGATTTCCTAATCTGTACAATATGCTTGCCAGTATTCTCAGTTTAGATAATTTCTTGCTGCATATATGTACATAAAAACTTTGGCTACACAGGTATTTTACATGCCTTGAACATATGGCTATTGCTATTTTAATGTTCGGCGGGTCACCTGAAAGTCAAGGTAATGGGTGAAGTCGAGAGGTTTTCTGTGAGACCATGGCATCTGACTTACCTGTGTTGTTCACTGTACCTTGTGTCCCATGATAAATATCCTGTAGAATGATTGCCCTTTTGAGTGCCTCACTCTCTTTGTGTTTGTTACTTTTATTGACCAACATTCTGAGTAACATTTCAAAGACTTCTTCCCTCCCTCCTGTTTTCCATGTCACTCTTTCAGGTACCCATTATTGTATCTGCTCCCTGGAATTAAAATGGCCTGGATGAAAGTACTATGTCAAATTGCTAACTGTCTCTCTTCAGGTTCACAATGTCTGTCGCCAACAGTTACATATGGCTTCATTTATTGTATAGAGTAACATATTGGGACATCACCAATACATTTATATGTATAAAAAGAATACCCAGAGTTACTCTCTGTTTTCAGCATTAACTGTTGTATCGGAAGGGATATAGAACCTCAGGCTTCAGAGCTTAAGCCAATTCGATCTTTGTTTACAGTGAGACTTTACTGGGGGAATATGATCCTACATCTGTCTACTTTGGGGTTTCTTGCACCTGCCTCTAAAGCATTTGTTGCTGGCTGCTATCAGAGACAGGAGTCTGGACTAGGTAGTCCATGGTCTGATCCAGTTATTGCACTTGCATTCAAGAGGTGAAATCTTGGCCCCACTGAAGTCAGTGGGAGTCTTGTCATTGACTCTAGTGGGGCCAAATGTTACCCCAGGTCTCCACTTGTGCAGGCACAAGTAGTTTTGTACATACACTTCTGAAATGCAAACACTTGCTTGTGCACAAGTGTTAGACCTTGCACTCACAAAATCCAACAGTTGTACAGACATAAGAATTCATCAGCTATGTGTAGTGGTGTTTACACTTTCAGAAGCTCCTAAACTTTGTGAGACAAGTTGTGTGAGGTGATATCTTTTCTTGGACCAATTTCTGTTGGTGAAAGACACAAGCTTTTGAGTTTACACAGACCTCTTCTTCAGGTCTGAACCTAAGAGGAGCTCCATGTAAGCTCAAAAGCTTGTCTTTTACCAACAGAAGTTGGTCCAAGAAAAGATTACTTCACCCACCATGTCTCTCTCTAACAACCTTGGACCAACGCAGGTACAGTAACACCTAAACTTTAACTAGTTTTTGAATTTTTTTCAAAAAAAAAATTATCCAAATATTCTGAGAAACCTAGGTACTTAGCGTCAAAGCAGTGTTGTATAATATTCAAGAGCTTGTTTTAATTCTTCACTGCAGAGGTGGTTGACACAAATAAGACCTCCTTATTTGAAATATAATCCTATCAAATACTGAAGACAGAAAAATCACTGCTATATAGTATGTGAATGGTTTAAGAAGGTATCTTGAAAAGCATTTCTAGTGTGTGGTTTGAATGATTTCTGTCTGTCATTCACAAGTGAATAATCACTTGTATCTGTTATTCTAACAGTTTTACATAGGTTTCTAGGTGTTACAGATGGGGGTGGTCTGTTTGCTGTAGGTAGCAAGAGGAAGCAGATGTTTCACAGAGTTATTCCTCTCCTAATATGGAAATATATGCTGGACTCGATTTAATAAAAAAAAAATTCAAATGAGAGAGATGGTTATTTAAAGGGTAAGCCAAATTCTAATATATTAAATTTTTGATTTTTTTTTTTCCCCCCTGACCCTCCCATCTAGGTTACTAAGGAAAATAGAGACAACATTTTGCAAGATATTGTAACAACTGTGCAGGATTGCAGGAAATGAAGACAATTTCTTGTTTGTAACCATAGGTTCTTATATAAGTATATTGGAGGGCCCAACCCTACTCAGGCCTGGGGCAACTTTACCAGTGTCTTCACTATGAGCAGGATTGAGTGTGTAGCACTCTAAAATGGGACAGTGGGCTTCCATGTTTGTCAGTTGTTTACGTATAATTTACTCAGTTCACAAGGTTTTAAACAAACTCATCCTGGGATCTGAAAGTCAAGCAATTGTTTCTGATGCCAATTATAGTAGCACAAATTCAATTAACTATTAAATTCAATGGAACTATTGATTCAGTCCCTAATCCTGCAACATATGGTGAGGGTAGTCTGCTGTGTCTACAGAGAAGCATTAAAGTCAGTAGAGCTCTGCACAGGCCCCACAGTCCTCCTGCACACTACACATTGCAGAACTGGGGGCTGACACCTGTGTAACAGAATGTAGTCCGAGCAAAATCTTGCACAATCTGCTTTGTGCATTATCACCACCACTAACACTGACCCTGGGGTCCTACAGCAGTGTGCCTCAACTAACTCACCAATATGCTTCAGCTGGGTCAGCATTATGAATGATGATGAACAAAACAGAATAGCTTGATTCTCATGTCTCAGGATAAGTAAACTGAGCAAATGTGATCTGAAATCATTAAGACAAATACATGATATAACTGGACAATTGTCATTTACAGAGTTGAATTTTAGAGAAAAGATTAGCTTTAAGTTGCTTAGACAGTACTTGATAGGAATGCTGCCTATTCTGTTTATTTTTCACATTTTCTTATAGCCAAAAAAAGTCTTTAGGACCATGGCTTTCTTAATAAAATCTTGACAGATGTTTTTCATAAAATGTTTAAAATATCAAGCATTAGATTTAATGTTGCATTTGACTATCCAAGTTTAACAATCCATTATGGCTTATTGATGCTTAACAATTTCTGTTTATTTCCTTTTGCAATCCTGTGCATGTTTTTTGGTTAATGATGAAACAAGAAATGAGAGTATTAGACAACATATATCCTCAGGAGGTTTGTAAATGTGTTTAGGAAAAAAGCATTTACCACTTAATCAGTCTTGCATGTCATAAACTAAATTTCCAGCCAGGTGTACTTTTGTTCTCATGCAGCTTAAAGAGTTTTCTACTTCAAAGATTTAGGAATGGAAAGGACTGAATTCCTTCCTTCCTTTTTTGTGTGGAGTGTAACAAATGTTAAAATAAACATGTTGGTTAAAGGCATATGGAAACTTGCCTTGTAGTTAGTCATTTATTTGTACACTAGTTCATGGTTATGCTCCAATAGCAGATCTATGTGCATTTATAAAGCCAGGTTCTGACAGCCCTTTTGCAAGTGTATAGGAGCCTGTGGGAAAGCATGCAAGGAGGATCCTTCCTCTTCCCCATACTCTGTGCAAGAGCCTGTTAGAAGTGAGTCCTGCTGTGGGCCACTGGAGGTGCACATCACCCCCAGAGGGGTGGGGCTAAGGCCCTATTCTTAATATGTACTAGAAGGGGAGAATTCCCCCAGAGCTCCCTGTGGGCTTGTGCAGCTCTATGCTACTCCAACATAGGACTATGCCTTAAAGCCACAGTTGATTCCTTAATTAAACATCAGATGTCCACATTAGCTAGGAACTGTGGACAACTCCAAGCTATCGCTTAAAATAGTGCTATTGGGTGACCCAGTCTTATCCAAGAGCAAAGCATTTAGATGTGCACCTTACTCTGAAGTTCAACAAATACTGGTTTTGTCAGAGCAAGGCGTGAGAGTGAGGTTTCTCCATTGTGAATAGCCAAGCCCTTGTCCTCAAATGCTTGAATCTAGGGAATTGGTAGGTATGTCTACACTGCGCTTAAAAACCTGTATCTGGCTTGGGCTGTAGGGCTGTTTAATTTCAGTGTAGATGTTTGGGCATGGGCTGGCACCTGGGCTCTGGGACCCTCTGACCACACAGGGTTCTAGAGTTTGGGCTCCAGCCCAATCCAGAACCCTGAGCCTGGACATTTCTTTGAGGAGAGGGTGTGACTCTCTCTCTTCTATAAAGATAGTGGACAGAACCTTTGCCAAATTTACCAGCTGCTTTCCCCCATCACCTCTCTCAGCTGGAGACTCTAAGAAGTTGGGAATCCTCTATTTGATTAAATAATGTTTTATATATAAAGTGAAATGAGAAGCCAAATCTGACTTGCTGAAGCTCTTTACCATTACTCATGTTACCTTTCAAGTGCCTGTTAGCTTTCATAATGCTATAATATCCCAGCTGTACAACTGGTGTTAATATAATTGTCCTCTAGCATTACTGATCCTGCTTGCAATTTTTTACTTCATTTTGTAGGGGTGTGACACGGTTTTATAGGGTTGTATAGTACATAGTATGAGGGATTCCCCCCTCCTAATAGGGACCTTTGTGCACTTTACACTACTATTAATTTTTCCATGATAAATGCTAGCTAAGCCATCTGTCAAACCCTGTTAGCATTCAGACGCCATTTGCAATAGAAGAGCCCTTTATTTTATTGCATTCTCAGATTTACCCACCTCTCTACATATAATCTCTCCTTTCCTGGTCATTGATATATAGGGTCAGATTTTTAGCTATACATCTGCAGTCTTGTGTGCATGCACACAGTGGTCCAGCCAAAAATATACCTCACAATGTGGGTGTAAATGGACTTGTGCACAATTCTTTCACTTAAACTGGAATAGTTTACCAAGGGATCTGGGGGAGTCACCATTATTTTGTCCTAGGATTAAAACCATTCCTATTGAAGTCAATAGGAGTTTTTCATCTGAGTTCACAAGACCCAGGATTTCACCCTTTAAACAAGATTGGGTTTCTTTCTAAAAAACCATGCTATAGCACAGCCATAAGCTATGGGCTTGATGTAGGGGTTACTACGTGAAATTCTCTCACTTGTGTTATGCAGGTGGTCAGACTTCATGATTTTAATGGTTGTTTCTGGCCTTTACAGCTAAGTCAGTCCCAAAGTAATGTAACGTACTTGTTTCAAATGTTCAGTACGGGGATCAGAAACTAAGAGTTCCAAATTAAGTTCAGCTGTTATGGTACCTTATGTTCAGTGTAAAGGCAAAAATGTATTGCCTGGTCTCACATATGCAGAATATATGGAAAGCCTTAAGAGCACAGTGACAGCTAGAGCATTGACAATTCCCCCAATCAGCTATTTACCAATAGCAAACATTGTGTGATGATAACCTCTGATAAGGCAGCAAGACTCCTGATGACAATGTTACTGCACCTGCAAATTTTAATTGGTGTAAAAGGGAGAGAATAATTAGTGCCTCCTATTTTGTTTAAGCTCGAGCATCAAGGACATTGTAGGCAAGAAGTTTAACAATTCCAGCATAAAACAGTGCAGACAGCCTGGCATAAATAGAGGCTGCATTATTGAGCATGTGCCAGCCAATTTTTTACTCATGACATATGGAAAATCAGAGAGAGCGGTAAGTCTTTAACACTTGACCTGCTACAGAGTTAATAATAGGGCTAAGAAATATTAGTCTTACAGAATTAAGTACAAGAAACAGTAAAGTGCTCTAATTAATGACCAATCTCCCTTCCATGGAGCAGAATAAAAATGGCACTAATTTGGTAGTTAAGAGGAATAATTTATTGAGAAGGAGAGGGTTATTACATGCTGACAAATTTTAGTATTTATTCACCTGTCCTAAGGTGAGTTTCTTGAGTACATCTAAACCTGAACCCAAATTACACAGCCTATTTACCCAAAGAAGAGCAGGCTGGAGGTAGACTAAAGTCAGACCAAAGAAGCCATTTTCCCCTTCCCCGATCCTCAGAACCTAAGCAGATGAGCTGTGAATTAAACCTTGAAGACTCCCAAGAACTTGATGACTACGAGGAATGCCAAACAGTTCTGAGATGGAGAAGGGAAATCGCACTGATCTTAACTAGGCTTGACAAAGTTTGTCCCGCTCTTGGATGTAAGTATATATTAAATCCTTCTGTTTCCTACCGAATGTACAATCAGACAACTTCTATAAACAAGGCTTGGGGTCTGCCAACTGGTGACCAGATGCTAGAGTGAACATAACTGATTTAGCAGCCCCTGGCTGGCTTCTCTAATGTTGCTGAAGTCATTGATTAGATACTCTGGGCAGATTCTGACCTAATTTCCACCAGTGTAAATGAGACGAGTGCCTAACCTTTACTGCATGACTTGAGCAAGAACAAACTAGTGAAAGAATAAAATAGGTTTAAGGAAACCAAGAGAAGGAAAAACAGTTAATCTGAGGGCTAAAATGGGACTAGTTCTGCAATGTTCATACTTATTTTACCATATACCCACCACTGCTCTGCTTCCTCGTTCAGTCCTGATACATTATAGGGCTTCCCCCCACTGCTTTCCTCCCACTTTGATCATCAGTAAAATGTCACCTAGCCAGGCTACATACAACACTCTGACTATTTTTATCTTTGCCCATAACTACAGAATTTGGGTAAGGCTCTTCAGGTGGATCAGTGAATGGGGTGGTGCCATCATTCCCTCACCACTGATGGTGTTTCCGTAAATGTAGCACATACACGGATTGTGCTTGGAGAGTGGGAGGTTGTCTTCTTCAAAGGCTGGTGCAGTTACGGACTAAGTTGGGGGTGTCCTTGAAAGCAGCAATAAAGGATTCACCTGGCAGCCGATTGGCTACCCACTGCTGCATTGCATGGGTCATAGCAGTGCTACTCTCCAGTATATCGACCACTTTTGGAATTAGGTGAATGATCAGTGAGCAGGCTCCTTGCTACACAGCATGTCGAACAAGTGACTTCTTGCCCCTGCTGTTTTGGAAAATTTCAGCATGTCACCTAAATCTTCAAAATATTGATGTGTTGGATCATGCAATATATATTTAAAGGTGTTGATTATAGCCATCCTCCAAGCACCACTGCACACACTGAACATGTAACACATACAAACTGCTCAACCTTAACAGCTTAGTCCATATACAATGCTGGATGGATATTAGCTATAGTAGAACCTCAGAGTTATGAACACATAACTGGAGGTTGTTCGTAAGTCTGAACAAAAAGTTATGGTCGTTCTTTCAAAAGTTTACTACTGAACATTGACTTAATACAGCTTTGAAACTTTACTAGGAAGAAGAAAAATGCTACTTTTAACCATCTTAATTTAAATGAAACAAGCACAGAAAGTTTCCTTACCTTGCCAAATCTTTTTTTAAAACTTTCCCTTTATTTTTAGTAGTTTACATTTAACACAGTACTGTACTGTATTTGATTTTTTTTGGCGGGGGGGAGTTTCTGTTGCTGCCTGATTGTGTACTTCTGGTTCCAAATGAGATGTGTAGTTGACTGGGCAGTTCATAACTCTGGGGTTTGTAACTCCGAGGTCCTCTAGCTCCAGTGTTGGCCCAGGGTTCAAAAAACCAAGACAATTACCAAAAGTCATTCAATAAAAACATCTACCTGGACCCTGATTTAATGATTCCCATAATCTTTGATTATGCGGTGGGTACTATTGCTCACCTTAAATATATTGAAGATATAAGTATTCTTATTGACAACATATCCAACATGGTCAATACAAATCTATGGGCTATTGCCTTAGAGAATACCTGTAACACTTTGTAATTGTTCCTGTTGGGAAAGTTTAACATTCCTGCTGTTCACCCAGCCAAGATATTTCAATAACAATTTTAAAACAAAACAAAAATATCTGCAACACATATATAGGTGCTAAAAGTCACGGGATACTTTGAAAAAATCCCTCCCTCCCCCCAATAGGCAGTTGGGATCATTTTTTTTAAATAACTAAAATGTGTAGGGCTAAAGCCTGTTGTGAGAGGCCTGGCCACCCTGTGCTTGGTGGGGGTGGATAGGAAACCGCCTTTATCTGCACACCTGTGCAGCAGCAGGTTGGGATTCATTATGAGCACTCTCCTGGTGCACAGCTGCCTCAAGAGGACATCGTGTGTTGGCTTGAAATAGGACTAGAAGCCTGTGCTGTTCTCTGGTGGAGCAGCACTAAAGCACATGCACCTGGCACCTTGCTCCATTCAGGCCCTGTGGATGCAGGATCTCTCAGTGACGCCTTTGAAGAACATTCCACTTTCTCCCTGGTGTGGCCATAATGAGGGAGGGCAGAGTTTTGCCCATAATGTTCAGAGCTTTAGCACCAGGCTAATTTATATTAATGAGTGGGAGACAAAATGTGGATTTCCAAAGTTTGCAAATTAGCAAGTAAGTAAATAAATATGACTGAAAAGAATGAAAATTGCTGCATCACAGAGTGTACTTGGCTCATTTATTTTGACCAGTGTCATTCAGGTGTTTTTTACAGTATTAAATATAGATGCCATGGTGATGGACAGGGTCTGTAAATGTGAAGGCAACCGTATATTGTGTAAAAGTCATGAGACCTCGCTTCAGCATCGCCTATTCAATCTTGCTCATTAAGTGGGACGAGACGACCTGGTTTTGTGTAGAAAACCACCATGACTGTGGATTAGCGTGATAAGAATTAGAAAGGAGCTGCTGTAGTTACAGTAAAGAAGAACATTGAGACACTGATAGTTGTAAATAGTTTAATTACAAAAAAAATTTATGAGCATGTGTGTGTATATACTATAGTACATTAAGGATTTGTTTTAGCCTCTTGGCTTCAGATATAGGCATGCATTCCTGTAAACTGAACAGGAGTGCGAGATTACATATAAGAGCAGTTTTGTATATAAAACTGCTTTGTTTGCAAATAAGGAGCACCATATGCTTTGTGAAGGCTTTCCATGCACTGGCTATACTTGTTCTCAAAACTTGCCTTATTGCAATGTGTAAGTCTATCTCTTTCATACAATATTTCAACATGGCTGCATGCAGTATATCTTCACCTATATTAATATGTTGCTATACATAATTACCATCTGTGTAACACTTTAAGGAAAAGGAAGAATGAGGTTTGCCTTTAAAAATTCGCAGATTCAGCTCTAATGTTAGTGTTTATTGTACTATCCTATTACATGTTCATTGCTTCTAGTCAGAATTTTTCTTTGTGATGCATTATGTATAAAATGCCAATTATTTAACATGCAGTCCTCTTTTTCATTATGGCAGGAAACAGATGTCTGTGTGCTTTTCGCCGAGTTGTATTAAGATCTTCTATTGCTTTCACTTGCACTTCCACGCATGCTTCTTTTTGAGCATGTCCAGATTTCCACCACAAGTGTGTCAGCACCGCTGCGGGGGAAGGATATCAGGCAGAGTTTATTCATTGTTTTAGAAATGTCAAAAACCTGAGATGAAGTTGCACTGCATTTTAGGACATCTTTAAATTCTGTAAAGGTCCTTCCATCCCCACATGCCAAGCCTTTTTGCTGAAGAACATCTGCACTATGGGATTCTCTCTCCGAAGTTAGAAAAATAAAGCGTTTTTGAGGTTTGTTGTTACACTTGAAATAACTGCAGCTGACTGACCTAGATGTGTTGTTCTTTACTTTGAAGGAGTACATCTGGCCCTTGAACTAGGAATATTCTTCACTGCTCTTCTGAAAGGCTCTGTTGAGAAGCTGTATCCTCCAGTGCCATATCCTCCTGGCTGGCTCTTCTACACTCCAGATTATGATGCTCAAAAATGGCTCGGGCAGGACCTAGGTCTTTTCGCGGTCTAGATTTTGTAGCATCAGTCACTTCATAAGTCTCGGAGAATTGCTTAAAACAAAATTTAGAATAGTTTAGGAAATGTCTAGATGGCACTTCATTTGGTTCTTTTCAAAAGGACATTTTGAAACAAAGACAGACATTAGCTCTCTGGACTTCATACCGTTTTGTGTAATTTTATGTGATTCACATTTAGTTATAGCGTGAACTTCAGGAGCTAAAAAGGAACTAGAGAAGACCCCAGCACTTGTCCCTCTTCATGTGATAACAGCACAGAACTGCCCACAAGAGCAGACTACCAGATAGAGATTGTGCAGTAATACCTACTTTGTACTGTGCCTGATCATGTTAAGTCTGAAAAGGATGCCCCAAATTATCCCTAAATGTAATTAATCTAATTCTGGTCCAACTTCACTAGAAGACTTCCTGTGCTAAAGCAGAGGGTTTAAATAAAAGCCTTATTTCACACCACATGCTGGCAAGTAGCCACATTGACTGCAAGAGCTCACTTCTGCCTGGCACGCAAAGTGCTCAGCTTAGCTCTCGTAATTTCAAAGGGAGTTGAGAATGGTTGGCAGGATCCAAACCTTAGACTGTAAACTCTTTGGGCAGGGGTTGTGTCTTACCTGTTTGTGCAGTGCCTTGCATGTCTACTGGTGGTGTAGAAAGACAAAAAATAATACTCGCATCAGTAAGGCAAGCAGTAGGCCCTAGGTGAATAATGCTCAGTCCAGCTCCTAATGGAGATAATGGCAAAACTCATTGCCTTCATTTGGAGCAGGACTGATCATTACATGATGCAGTTAGGATGAAACTAACTTTAGGCATGGACAACCTTGGTATCATCTGGGTTAATATATTTGTATGCTATGTACATGAGAAACCAGACTTGGGCTATCCATATCCAATGATTTTGTCCTAATGACAACAAATCAACTTACTTGGTAATGCCAAATTATTTAATGTTAGTTATGCCCTCAGTCTCTCATTGGATTTGCCAAACTGCTTCATGTCTAAGGACTATGATTTTATTTTACCACTCTGGAGGGTCTGTAGTGAGGATGATGGACTTCAGGAAGGAGACTGATTGGAATCAAAAGTTAAATCATACAGTCAAATAGCCAACCAAACAAAATACTAAAGTGCACACACACATTTTCCCTGGGGAGAGAATGATAGAGAGAATAAATGCACATGACAGATGTTAGTCACGTTGCTTAATGCACTCCTGGCAGACACTTGAATACTACAGTGGTGAGAGCAGCATAAGAATATAATAGACTAGAATTATAGCTCCTGCTAACATGACTCTGCCTTACCCGTGTTGCTTGGCTTGCAGCTCTAGCAGATGGACCCATGGTAATGTTGACACTGCTGGATGACTGGGTATCAGTTGTGTTTCCTCCATCAGCAGCCGAGAGCCCAGAAATCACCAAAGCACTTGAAAAACTTCTCTTGCCAAACAGAAGGCTGAGAGTAGAGCTGGTGGAAGAGGCCAGACTGGACCTCAGCATTGCTCCAGTTCTATCCTGGACAGTCAACTGGCCACTAGCAGGAATGGCAGGGGTCTGAGAAAACACAGATGTGACTGAATTGTGGAAGGACAACTGGCTTCTGGAAAGCCTTTGGACAATTTCATGGGCAGATGTGGAAGCTTGGATAATGGGCTGGTAACTTTCTACAAGTGGTTCAGAATGACTTGAAACCGGTGGCCTCTGGTTTAAGGCAGCATGTGTCTGAACAGACTGACTCCTGAATTTTCTTCTGCCTTTAAACAAGAGAAATAGTTTTATTTTAAATTATATTTTCAGTTACATACCATCAAAGCACACATATTACTGGTTCTATCCATTTACTAGGGTATATTTTACGTAGCGTTCTTTATCACACATACACTTTTATACTGAGGATCTAAACACTTTACAAACAAACGTTCAGCGAATCATAGAAATTAGAGATGGATGAACCTATGAAGTCATTTGGTTCATCCCACTGGCAGTGCAAAATGGTCCAGATCTTCTATTGCCTTTGATGGGAGCAGAATTTGAGCCTTTGTGAGGAACATAAATAATGTAATTATTAAATCCATTTCACAGATGAATAAATGGAGAAACAGAGAGCAAGATTCCCCAAGAAACGTAGGTGTAGTGATGCTGAGTGTCACCATGCCTAACTTTCAGCTGTCTTGAAAATCACTAATTCACAAAGCCAGCGTTCGATGCTCAGGCTCGCTATACAATGAATAGGTGCTTCAGCATGGTATTCACAAAAGCCAGCATGCTAGGTGGCTCCTCGCCTAAGCTAGCCAATGGGAGATGCCTAAGCAAGGGGTGTATCCTAAGCCCATCCCTCTCAGGGAGTTTGGTGCCTAAGGGCTGCAGGGAGGCATCTTCCTCTGCTTGGGATTCTCAGCTACAAACCTTTTCTTGGTGTTAGGTGCCTCCACCATTTCTACCAGAAGTGAAGGAGGTGGCTCTCCCTCAACTTTTAGTCCAGCTGTTAGAGTACTTACCTAGGCTGTGGAGACCCTTAGGATATGATGCATCTGAAGAAGTGGGTTTTTCACCCAAGAAAGCTTATGCCCAAATAAATCTGTTAGTCTTTAAGGTGCCACCGGACTCCTTGTTTTTTTAGGATATGAGGGGATTTGAGCAGGGATTTACCACCGCTCAGATGCATGCCCTAACCACTGAGGTATGGGATATTCTGATGTGGGGCTCCCTCATTTTCTCTTGTTTAAGCTGTTCTACTGTGGAACTCTTAAGTACCTAAATCCCTTTTTGAAAATGAGATTTAGGCCCCTAAATCAGTTGGGCATTGCAACGCTAAGCACAGCAACATCTCAATAGCTTTAAAAAATCTCAGCCCAAGTGCCTTAGAAAATTCCACTCCTAAAGCTTTATATAGTTTAATTTAATTGCAAATTAAAACAAAGTAAGGTTACACAGAATTACCCTTGCCCTCAGAACTAGGAATGTGAAGACACTTCCACCTCACAGGGGAAGAGTATTTACAACAAAGGAAGTTGTTTGAGGTCAAGAATTTAAGAGGAAGAGACCTATGTGGGGGGCAGATTATTCCACATCTACCTACTGCAAGGTCTTTGCACCATCCTTTGAAGCTCCTGGTTGTGGCTACTGTCAGAGAAAGGATACTTGCTGTTTTCAAAAATATTAATACTTTTTAAACCCCACAATTATGGCTATGACATTAAAGTACCAGCTCAGAACAAGCACCCAGTCTTATGGGGACTCAGAAGGCCCAGCCCTTCCAACTCAATCCTAAGGATAGGGGATCCCATAAACCAGGAGTCTGTTTGCTGGATCACGAAATGTTTAAAAGCTGGCTATTTATCCAAAAGTCCTTTCTTTGTCTATTGGTCCCTGGAGAATCCAGTTTGAAGTAGTATATGTGTATGTCTCCGGAGGGCCGGGGAGTGTCTTCAAAGGGTTGATAACCAGAGGAATTACATTAGCATCACCCGCCTACCAGAGAAGGTATGTACAATGCCACAATAACACATACAGAATTGCATTTTTAATACAATGGATTCCAAAGGTATTAAACCTAAATCAATAAGGTTTAATTTAACTCAATAAAATTCATTCGGGATATTGTAGATAATTCTCAGTCTGTCACAGTACCAAGTCAAATGCCTGACAAAAGTTTAAGTATACTACATCAACACTATTACCTTTATCAACTAGACTTGTAATCTCATAAAAAAAAAAATCAAGTTAGTTTGACAAGATTGCTTTTCCTTATACCCGTGTTGACTGGCATTCATTATATTACCTGCCTTCAATTCTTTATTAATCAAGTCCCAAATCAGCTGTTCAATTATTATGAAGAGATTGATGCCCCGCTGCCAAACTTATAATTACCTGGGCCATCTTGTTTACCTTTTTAAATTATTGGCACAATATTAGCTTTCTTTGAGTCCCCTGGGACTTCCCCAGTGTTTGAAGACTTATTGAAAATCAACATTAGGATCCAGAGAGCTTCTCAACCAGCTCTTTTAAAACTCTTGGTTGTAAGTTATCTGAACCTGTTGAATTAAAAAATGTCAAGCCGTAGCTGCTTTTTAACATTCTCCTTAGTTACTTTTGGAATGGAAACTATTTCATCATCAACAGCATCTTCATCATCATCATATGATATAAACACATTATCTGGCCTTTTCCCAAATATAATACAGAAATATATTTAACACTTCTGCCTTTTCTGCATTATTATTGATGATTCTACCATTTCCATTTGGTAATTGACTAATGCATTGATAGGATTCCTTTCATTCCTAATATAATAAAAAAAACCTCCTTCTTGTCCTTAACTGTAGCTTCTGATTTATATTACTTTCATCTTCCTCTTTCTTGCATTTGTTATATATAATTTTTTAAAATGATTTTTATAGCTGTTTTCACTTCTCCTCTCAGACAGGTTGGTTTTTAACCAATGTAGTCTTTTATCACTATTGTGGTTTTTTGGGCATCTAGCAAAATGTTCTTAAACAATTCCCAGTGATCTTTCATTATCATTTGAGCCCCTCAGGGTCATTATTTTACAATTAAGCTTACCTTTCTGATTATGGCACTGTCAAATTGTAAAAGTGCACATGGGGATTTTGCTCCAACACAGGAATCAAAAGCAGCAGTTGTAATCTTACAATATAATTTATATTCAAGGCAAGATTCTCTCCAGCCTTGTCCATTATTTTTAATGTAAGAGCCAATAGATATAACAAGAAATGAACAAGTATCCTGTTCCTAGTTCTCTGCCTTAATTTATAACCTATAGCATAACTGTGATGTACAGTCAATTAACTCAACCTTTCAGCAAGTCCTGAGCCCTCAGAGATGTGATGAGTAGGACTTATTTTACACCAGTTTTATAATTTTACACCAGTATTTCCAGTGAGCAGGCAGCTAGCCCTGCCTTACAGATCATCACAAATCTAAAATAGTTTTTGGCTCAGAATATAAGTTCAAAGCATGGTTTTGTTCATAAGTGATGAGGACATGAATTACTCCGTATCAGAATGATTGGCCAGGTCTAAATGTTGGCTTTTTTCTGATGAGTACTGTATTTATATAATGGAAGCTACACTAGAGAAACAATCCCATGTGCATTAGTGATCAGGAAACCCTCTTACTCATATAATCAGGACATTTTGTTCACTTTCCCCAATGTCTCCCATTTAGCAATTTAGTTAAGAGTTTGGCACAATTTTAGGGTTAGAATTCCCAATAAACAGTCAAGGCACAGGGCTCACTGAATTCACTTTTTAACTACTTCCCATCTTTTGTTTGAATTTCCTCCATTACAAAAGGCATCTCCTGGTCCAGGAATCTAGCATTCAGTTGTTTGTCAGTGGGGACTCAGGTAACTTCTTTGATAGCCATTCTGCTTGTCCTATGCCTTCCCAATGACCCTCCCCTGGAAGAATAAGTCAGAAGGTCACCCCCTAAACATGCCTGCTTAATAATTTGCTTGGAAATTAGGGAAGTTGAGATCTCTATTTCTTAAATTAGGATTTCCAGTGGACATTTCTTTTGTTCTCATTCTGGCCCCTTTTGCACTGCTTGGATGTCACAAAGGTGTCAGAATCTGATCATAGCTACCCAGAAGAGAATACTCCCAGTGAAAGGGAACCCTCTGTATTAACAGGGGAACTGACTCCTGTGCTCATTTGCACTACTAGTATATGAGACATGTTGGAGGTAGGAAGGGGGTGTGGCTAATGTTATATGGTCCCTTAAGATGCAGACTGGTTCCCAGGATCAGGGAGCTGTAACCCTAACCAGCTCCTTAACACACCTCTCCTCTAATCCTCTACACTGAGTGGATCTCAGACACTGAGGTGAACCTGGCCCATCATGTCACTTATGATTTTTTAAACTTTTCAAAACACTGTATTTGGTATGAAGTGCAATAATTTGGCAAGTTTCTGGGAAGCTTCACCATCTTTGCCATGCTCACACATCCCATCCAGCTCATCAATAAAAGTTAGCCCATCACTCTGGAATTAGTTTCAGAGCAAAGAAACTCTTTTTCATTTTGGTTAATTTTTGTGAACATTCAAACTCAATTCAGCTCCAGCAACTACATTCCTCCCTGTCTCCTGCTGTCTTCCTCTCTTTGATAATGTAATATAAATCATGAGAAGGTGAAGAGTGGACTGTGTGTGCTGTCCTCAGCTTTACCAGAGCACGTAAATATAGGAGTGGCCTAATAAATGTAAAATTTGGTGAGTTGAGAGCTGTGAAGCTTTTCTGAGGCCAGAATCACCAGCAGATGTAGTAATTTGAATCACAGTTTATACAGTCTGACTCCACAGAACCTCGAATTTTAGATCATTGTTCCTCTAAGTACTTGACTGCATCATGTCATAAAGCTATAAAATAAAACACCAAACACCCCAGTCACATTTTCTCTGAGGAACGACAAGCCTAAACAGACTGTTATAGAGCCCATGTTTTGGTATACCTACCTGCATATTGACGGGAATCTTGTGAAGAAGGCTGCATCTGGGGGGTTCCATTTCTTGTGTGTTGTGAGCTACTACTCTGGCTTGAATTACTTGCGGAATTGTTTCTGGATGAAGACCCACCTCCACTCTCCACCTCTTCAATGTTGTTTCCACTGTTGTGACTTGCATGACAGTCCTTCCGCATTCTGTTTGTGAGATGAGACACACTCTCAAGTTATGTTGTTTATGAGAATTTGTGTGGCCAACATTAGATAAACTCACAGTACACATGAATAGCTGTGCTCCGACCAGCCCCCTAGATGTATTCAACAGGCGAACACCAGAGCTCTGACAGTTTTGAGGATAGTAATTATATTACATTATAGTTATATTAGAGGTGGGTAATTTGGTTTAGTCAAAATAAAAAGCAACGTAAAACTCCATTCATCGCCCAAACCAAATCTGTCTTGGTAGGTGGCCTTGGAGCCCTGACACCCATCAGCATACTTAATCCAATGTCAAATTGGTTCCAAAAGGCGAATCTTTATATGAGGTAGCCAAGTGGCATGCTCTTCTCTCCCAAATCCCATATGCTCTGGGAATAAAGTGCACTCTGGGAGGTTAATATGCAAAGCAAACCCCAAAGCGCAAGTTAGAGCAAATAGAGATGCAGTGATGGGTCAAGCAAACCAGGCTACAGCCATGAAAGGATGGCAGGTCAAATGCACTACTCCTGTATGAAGAGTGCTTATAGGATTGACAGAGGAAAGATGTGAGATACAGAGTTAATGGGGGAGAGAGCGAGAGAGCTATTGGGGTTATATATCCTGGAAGTTGGGGCCTGATGGTGGAGATTCAATAAAAGGTTAGACTGTGTAATACTGTCTGATTTTGCATTGTCTGGTCTTGCAGCTTTGACAAGTGACAAAGTTTCATAGTGGCATAATTTGATTGGATATCCTGCAAAATTTGCAGTATTTGGTAACATATGCAAGCTATAAATCATTAATCTTTTTGTATTTTTTGTTATTTGTTTCTTTATGAAAATTACACAAAAAATAAAAAAGGTTAGGTGTATTTTGGATAAGTATCAGAACTTGGGAATGCTTGTCTGACCCAAACTGCCAAAGTTTAGAGTGTAACACCTATATTCAGGTTTCAACATGTTCAGAGTCACTGCAATGTGGAAAACCTATATTGCTATTTACAAAAAATAAAAGGTAAAATGCCTTGGAATCATTTTTATTTCGAGAAATCATTCTTTTCTGAATAAGATCATTGCCAATAAGGCTAAGTAGTATGATGATGATGACAGAGGACTATACTTGAACGTCATTAATGGAGTTCAGAGTTTTCTTTCCACAGTAGTTGGGAAGCTATTTTATATATTTAGTTATGGTTGCACACATCAGGAATTAATAGTTTTTCTCACAGAGTGAGAAACTCTCTTAATAGAAAATAACATGATTGCAGACTTCCTCCCATGCATATCATAATACAAGCTGAATATTGTCTAACCACTTACCTTAACCACTTGGATCTGAACCATGTTTTAATGTTGTCCAAACTGATAGGTCCACCCCAAATGTTCATCAGCTGGCTGTGTGTCCCTATGTACGATGTGGTTAATGGGGAAACATACATTGGATATCCCAGTGGCTGATCACATGAAGAGTTAATCAAGTTCCTCAAGACTTGTTTATTGTTCTGAATACTACCTCGCTCTGGATTACGATTGCGCAAAAAAATTAGCTCCTGTTGCTGCCCAGCCCAAAGCCCTCTGACACATTCCTTGTTTACCTACAGTTAAATAGAAAAATATGGACCATTTGAAAATGTTTTCAATTTAAAAAAAATACTACGATGGGTGTATAACCCAAATAGTACTGTACTTTGCATATACATAGTATCTTTTAACAACAAGTCTCAAGAAATTTTACAAATATTTACTTAAATAAGTTAGAATTTTTATTTCAGATGAGTAAACCGAAGGACAGGAAATTTAAGTGAATTGATCCTGGCCACACAGTAAGTCAGGAATAGAACCCAGGAGTTCTGGCTCCCAGTCCCCTGCCCCAACAGCCTGATCAACCTCCCTCTCTTAGCTAAACCTGCTTACTCAACAATGGTATCTGGGTCCCAATTCACCAAGAGAAGACTGCCTGTTTGTGTAGTGCCCTGGACACAGATGAAATAATACAAATCTGAAATACTAGAAAGATGTCTTTGGTACCTTGATAACTTTGAAGCTCAGGTAGCTTTTGTGGAGCATAATAACTTTATATTCATCTGTCCCTTCATCCACTATATGTCTCAAGGTGAGAAGCTCTTCTCTGTTAGAGAGTACAGCTCTGCGCCAGGCAGGGTCACCCTCATGACAAATTACAATCTTCTCCTCAAAAGACTGGATTGCCTCATACAGAACTGCAGGGTCCTCATACTCATCTGGACAGGTGAACTGGTCCTGGTATTAAATGAAATGAATATTACTATGGTCAGACAGGTCCATAAAAAGAGAACAGCTATTGAAGATAAACTAGTTCCTGCTTTCATTAAAGTCAATGACAAAGCACCTGTTGACTTCAGCTGGAACAGGTTTGTGTCTATAAAGACTAAATTAGAGATAACACAGGGTGAGGGTGGGGATTGGATGAGGGAAAAGGAACAGAACCGTTAACATCTTAGTACTATAGAGGGCTACATGAAGAAAATGTTTGTATGATTACAACTAACTTACAGAGTATCCAGCCTCTTTACTGGATAGACACAAAGAATGGCTTAGGAAATTTCCTTAGGAAAACATGTACAATAGTAATGGTGAAAAACCTGCCTGATGTAGCTTCAGGGACATTCTGACTGCTGGAGCGACCACCTTATGCAATAGATCCATGTCTGCAAACACCCATTCATCTTTTGCTGTAATTCGAAAGTCTCCTTTGAACAGAGCATGGAGTCCATAAAGAAAGGAATCTAAACTGTAAAATAACAACATTAGTTATTCCCAGAACAACCGTTTCATATTGAACCAATCATTGCAAATAGTTTTCCATTTTCACAAGATACAGGAGTTGATAGCGTCCCTGAAAAAGTGAGAAATGCTACATGTAGTTCTGTTTAGAAGCTGTGGTTCAACTTTAACTACTTTCTCCTGCAGCTTGCACAGTAAATGAGTGACTCCAAAATGAGAGTAAATTGGATTGTAACTACTAAACAAGTGTGGCTGCTTACTAGTAAGGTTTTTAGGTATATCTTGCGCTGATCATCTGACCTACACCTAAGAGAAAGTCCCATTGATACCAGTGGGTCTACTTGCATGGATAAACATTGCAAGATCGGGCTCCTTATTTATTGACCTTTAAAATACATCTAGTGCCATTAACTTTAGTAGTTTGCACTGGCAAGGCACAGAAGTTTAGCTATAGATATGCAGATGCCAACACAGCTGCTCAAAACACTTTCAGTGAAGCCTGAAACCTGCCTGGTTTAGGATTTCATTACAAACCTGAAAGTTAAACCAGGCATGCTGTAAAGTGCATTAAGATTCATGAACATTTCAAGGAAACCTGGGAACAGTTTTGAGCAAACTTTGGGGTGTTTTGCATTGAAATAATAAAAACTACACTGTTCGGTGTGGTTTTGATAAGAAGCCAGATGGAACTTGGTGCTTCTGACTGAACTTGGTTTGGAGGTTTTGAGTTTGCTTGAGCCTGACATACTCAAAGCAAGATGCATGGGGTGCAAATTCAGGAGATCAAAACCAAAGAAAATGTTTGCACAGACACCTGGGAGGCAAAACTACTAAATTCAGCTCTAATGCTTATCTGAGACCAAAAGCTTCCCAGGACTATAACAGATGTTTACAAAAAGTTTGTATTTTTAACGAAAATGACTTAAATCGCAGTCCTAAAACTATTCAGAAGAAGCAGGCCATGGTGTTCAAGAAAATAGAATTAGACCTTGGGACATCTGTTACAAACCCACAGGACATTGTTTAATCTACCTGACATGATTTTATTCACTCTTACAAGAGTGAAGTTTTTTACATTTTAAAGACTCTTAGGAGAAAAGCAATAAGATCTTAGAGATTTCCATTACCATCCAGGCTTTCTCCAGAGAATGTGTGAGCTCTCCACTTAATTGAGTTTTTGTAATTATTTTAGGAGAAGGAGGGGGGCGGGGGGAAGTAATTCTCTTTCCAAGGGAGAGAACAGGGAGATTAGGAAACTGCCTGGTCTATCTTCAGCTACAATACATTTCTAATTTCGGCCTTAGTGGGTAGCATGTTTTTAAAATTGTAATAGAAAGATACAGGCTATTACCAGCTGGATACCAATTTTCTCTTTAAAGGTGCTGTGTAATACAAACCAACTATCAGCGTGAACTGAAGTCATACTGCACACAGACTGAAAGGCAGAGACCGGTGTCACTGCTGGGAATGTTATAAATACAGGCAAGTCCCTCTGAGTTCTTAATTTACTTATGGTTATTAGTATTTAATAACACTTTTTCAAAAGTGGGATTTTTTCACAAGGGCCTAAGCGAATTAGACACCTAACTCCTTTTGACTTTCAATCAATCTCATCCAGAGATTGGAAAATGCTAACATCCTGGTTTGTATCTGGGAAATCAGTATAAGGAACCAGTTTAGAAAACAGATTAATGTGTATATCTAGTCTAGTGAAATACATGTTTCAGAATGAGTCATAGTCACTTAAAACTGGTTAGAAGAAATCCTGCTGCCTCACCCAAGTTACCCATTTGACCAAACATCCAGCATATAACTGAATCTTCACATGGAGAAATTGCTATTGTATTTAAATCCTTTTTATTGGGATAAAAATTAAGAAAAAGCTACTAATAATGAGATTCTATAGTGTAGTTTTTCTAAGTCAAGAACACCAAATTTTCACAAGGAGGTTGTCTGGGATGGGAGGAGAGTAGGCAGCACAGTGAACTGGTTTTTCATTTCTAGAGATTCAAGTCCAATTCTTAGAATCACAGCTGATGAAGAGTTTGCATTCTCATCAAAGACCCTTCTAGACATTTGTGCATGTTACACAATCTGGTGTGAGTGGCAACACATGGTAAAGAAAGGTCCAGGATGAGAATGGCTGTGGATGTTGCAAGTAAGAATTCAATTGCATCAGCAGAGTGGTGAGAGGAAAGCTTGCATAGCACCTGTTCTCACTATGCTTGGATTTAGAAAGAACTGTCAACCACACATTGTGATGTATACTAAATTCACCCACCAACATTTCCTAAGAACCAATATTGCTACTGCAAAGGAGATTCATATCAGGAACAGAACAGTAGTGGTGGGGAATCTAAAGAGCAATTACATTAAATATTATACACCTCTACCCCAATATAACGTGACCCGATATAACACGAATTTGGATATAACGCAGTAAAGCAGTGCTCCGGGAAAGGGGGGGGGGCTGCGCACTCCGCTGGATCAAAGCAAGTTCGATATAACGCGGTTTCACCTATAACACAGTAAGATTTTTTGGCTCCCGAGGACAGCGTTATATCGGGGTAGAGGTGTACATCATCGAAACATAGGGCTCGAAGGGACCTCAGGAGGTCATCTAGTCCAGTCTCCCATGCTGAGATAGGATTAAATACACTTAGACTACCCTGATGGACGTTTGTGTCTATTTATCATCCCTGACAGATTACACGTCTCCTGAGACAACGGGATGAATTTATTCTATAAAAAATTAAAACAATTTAAACAAGTTTTTTCTTATGCTGATCATAATTAGATGTGGGTACATCCTTCCTCTCGTTGGACACAGTCGCAATTAATCACTTCCACGTACCATATATTTATTAGTCAACACAACATGCAGCCATTGTTATTTCTCATGTTAACATGCTCTGTGTTGAAGACTCATATGAGATTATCATGAAGCGATAGCCAAGTTCTTTGATTTCTGGCCTCTCTCAGGGCTGGGTTTGGTTTCTTGGCCCAGTTTTAACATACGCATTTTAGTATCTCTGTCATAGTTATTAGCTCACACCAAACCCATTTGGCTACAATAAACTTCCATGACAAAGAAAGTACATTTACTAAATGGAGATGTAAGTGCTACATATGGCACTGTTTCTAAACCTATTAGGTAAAAGCATTAAAAACTGATGTCAATTAAATTAAAGACTATTCTAGAGAATTATAAGAAGATACTTAGGACTGAACTGTCCCTTAAAGTGTGCCAGTGAGGAGGGGATTAAGAGTCTGGATAATCTGCCATGATGGCCCCATAATTATCAGAGGCAGGGCAACCAAGCCAAAGCAGAATTGTCCTTCTTCTCTCTGAGTCCAGAGCAGACATTCTACACAAACAATGGTTGTGTGTGCCCACACTACTTTTTTTCCTGAAAAAATGCCTTGATGTTGCTAACAGTGGATCTTCTGCACTAATAGTAGCAATTGTGGGAAAAGTAGTGTAGACAGATCTCTGGATAGCCACCAGCATTTTAACCAGTGTCATATTATTCTGCTCAGAAGAAGTCTGTATGGCATGGTGGTAAAAAAGATTCTGGTGCCTTGTCTAGATTAGTGGTACCACTATTGAGATGGAAGAAATGTTGGGACATTCCTCAGTCTAAAAGGCTATTGTAGACGAGACCTTGGGTTTATTGGGTGGGGATGTATCGAGCTCAGTGGTTTGAGCAATGGCCTGCTAAATCTAGGGTTTTGAGTTCAATCCTTGAGGGGGCCATTTAGGCATCTGGGGCAAAAATCTGTCTGGGGATTGGTCCTGCTTTGAGCAGAGGGTTGGACTAGATGACCTCCTGAGGTCCCTTCCAACCCTGATATTCTATGATTCTATAAAAACTTTGTTCCTCTGGTAAACCCATTTCTGACAGACATTTTAGAGGGAGTAATTGCTCCTCATTAGATACCAGAGCATTGGGTAGTATATTAAAACCTAAGCTAATTCTAACTCCCACTCTGAGCATTCTACCCCCTTAATGGTTAGGGGAACATAAGCACAGGTAGGGAGGCAATCAGCGGTCCAGACTGCTCCTCAGCCAGCCGTGATGGTGAGGGCAGGTGAGAAGCAACAAGGAGGGACAAGCCCTCTGCATGGGTTGATAACAGAATTTTCCATTGATCCTCAATGTGGCCTAGTGTCTACTTATGGATTCTTCAGACTTCTAACAAGAAGGAGGCTAGAGAGAGACAGGGAGACAGAGAGTTTAGGATTTCTCTGAGTAAGATATTGACTCTGGTTTCACCCATTATGTTGTTGGAATAATTGTTTACTGAAACCTGAGACTCCTTGCTTCCTTGAGAATTCTACAGCGTGGTGATGAGAGACCAGTCGGTAAATATATTTGAGAAAGAGAGCAAGCCCCAATAAAAATATCACACTGAAACTTTAGACACTGCTTCCTCAAGAACTCAGAATCCATGAAGTTCACAGACCATTCCCAATGTGCTCTTTGCAAAGCCACAACACCACCCCACAGATGAGACAATAGCTAGGAAACGCCAGAGAGGAAGCCACATGAACTTTCCCTAGTAAGTTTACTTTTCCTGTAATCTTGTTGCAGGAGGGGATGCTTTAGCCCTAGATTTATATGAGGATTTCTATCCTCCTGCATGATAGAGAGAGCTTCCCTTAAAGTTTACAACGATCTGTATGTCTTAGCTGACACTGGGAATATCTTTTCTGCTGTACTAAACACGGTTATTTGAATCAGCTGCATAGGATATTTTGGATCCTAAAATATTATTTGCGAAGGGCTTACTTTGCTTCAGTGAGTATATGTAACTCCCATTTGCATCCATGGGAATTATCCACAAACATCTATGATAGAATTACACACATCCTATAGATTTCAGATAAAGCCTTTGAGGATTAATTTACTTCACAGTTTTAACAACAGTAAAAGTTATAATGGTGAATATTAAACAATTCTGTCCCTTTACTTTCCGGGACCTCAAAGTTTCATACTAGGCACA